GCTAAAGAGTATAAACAGAGAGAACCCCGCTCAAATGCGAGAGAAGTCATTGTTTACTAAAGCTGTTACGCCCTAATTCCAGCTATATCTAGATATAAGACCACGTACACTCAAAAAATATTGGACGCTAAATAGTATAAAAGTTACGCTAAATCGCAACTCTCCGTGCCGACGCAAAGGTCGGTATAAAGGGAGAGAATACATACTTAGTATAAAAATGATTTATGCCTGCCATAGTATAAAATCGAAATATGCTTGCAATGCATACATACGGTTTATTCGAGGGAATGTATTTTCTGCTTCTTTTTCGTTTAATGCTTAATATGATTGTTGGAGGCGAACCAGCCCCAGACTGAAAGCCTCCCTAATAAAGATAAATTAATTAATTAATTAATATGATTGTTTTAAAATAAAAATTAAAGTTTTAATTAAAGCAAAAGCAGTACCGTAAAATTATCATTATCGAAACCCAGGTTTATCATTACCCGACGTTTTGATCTTTGATAGGCGGCTAAAACTTGGGTCCACCCGGAATGGTCATATTCAACGCTTTGGCCATTAAGAAATTACTGTGCATCAGCAGATTATTGGCTAATCGATACAGGGTTGCCATTGATGGCAGGCTCTGATTCCACTTCCGACAGGCTTATATGCTTCTTTCGATCAATGAGCGGACGATGTTTGCAGAATCATTTGAGAACGTTACCACCTTCAACGTGAACTGAAAAACGACTACGAGTGCCATCGTGTTTGACATTGTCATTTTTGATCGTTTTAGTATACACTGATCGAATTCCACTCCGATAATCGGACTTAGTATAGTTTTGAAGAAAATATTAATCGGAGCAATGTATAAATTTTGATTAATAATAAAATGCATAAAATTTAATCAATATTAGTTTTGTAATATTTTTGAGTGTAGTTCTACGTCACCATTGCGTACAACCCCGTAGGGCTGTCCCTTGTAGTTTTTTGGAGTATTGGGAACATCTTGGTTGACGATAGGATGTGAATCCGTGTTAACGCCGAAAAGTTATTAGCGTTTCAAATGAACACCACCTTCTTTGCTTTTGGAGAGGGCGTAACGTGCAGTTTTTATTTTTACCAACAGGCATACGAATAGCAATGTCATGGGTATAACTTTTTTGTTTCACAATAAAATTGGCTGGAATTTTCACAGTAATTTGAAAAATGTTCGAAATTATGGTTTACTGGCCAAGTGATTCCTGTTTTATTCCGGGTTTCCGAGAGACCATCGGGGGGGGGGGGGGGTAGAAAAGATACCAGTCGTCTAGAGCAAGGTGATGCTGAAAATCCACAGCAACAGGCATCTATGGGTAGTGCTGATTAATGGTTTAACAAAACCAACCCACAACCTGGTTCTAAACACTAAGTGTCCGCCGGAAGGTCATCCGGTGACCCGGATCAACCTTAATCTTGATTATTATGTATTTTTGATCAAAGTATGCCTTGATTATTCTCTGCAACTATATGAAATGAAGTAAAATGGTGATTTTTGATATATAATCTGGTCATTATTGGCTCCGAGTGGTCATCAGATGGCCCGATAGAAAATTCGGAAAATCTGTAAACTTGATTGCCGTGTAAATTTGATCAAAGTAGGCGATGATTTGTTCTGATACTATGTGGAATGTAGTAAAATGGTGAATTTGGATTTATTAGCCAGTCATTGCTTCTAAGTAGAATGTACTGCTTCGTAAATTTGATCAGAGTAGGCCTTGAGTTTTTCTCTGCATTTATATGCGATGTGGGAAAATGGTGTTTGCTGATATATTAGCTGGTCATTGGCTCCGAATGGTCACCAAAAGTTCCTGAACATCCGTAAAATTGATTGCTGTGTAAATTTGATCAAAGTAGGCCTTGATTTGTATCTGCAACTATGAGGAATGTAGTAAAATTATGATTTTTGATATATTAGCTGCTCATTGGCTTCGAGTGGCTGAAGACATAAAAGCTGTTCATCTTCAAATAACAGAGAAATACGATGTTTTATAACATGTGCCTGATGTTCACGTTTTTAGTATTATATTTTGAGCTATCGTTCAAAAGAATACTTTTATCATTTTTCATCGATCGGTAGTGTGACAACAGCAGACGATAGGGCTTGTTCCTTGGCAACTATTGTCACTGTGGATGTGATTTGACACGGATCGATTCCATCGGATACAACAATGTAAGTGAGGAGCGACCTTGTATTGATGACCTCCAAATATATGGTTGAAAATATTGATGGAAATATTGACGAAACTTCTGTCGTGTGGATTCACTTAAAATTAATTTTGACAGATCGTAGCCCTGTGAAAAATATGAACGAATAGAAGCACACGGTAAAGTAAAGTACCTCATATTTACATTCTCTTCCATTACAATTTGGCCTTTTACTTACACTGAAACTTGCAGTTTGAAATTTATTATCGAGCTATATAAGGGAAAAATATACTTAACATGTGAAAAATGGTCAAATTTACTATGAAACATATTTGAAACTACATTACCTTTTAATATTTAGTGTTTGATTAAAATTCATACCGCTAAGACAATGATTCTTGCCATAAAAATTTGGTACGCGCAATATTACAAGCAATCAATCTAGTTGATAACCAGGTTGATTTTTAATTGAATGACATTGCGTGATAGCTCTAATGTGTGCATAAAACATAGTTAAAAAAAATAAGTTCACATAAAATCCTTAACAATTCTTAAATGCTTTCTAATCTGGACGCATTTTTTCCCCTGAGTGAGTGCAGTAAACAGCCATGAGCTTAATAGTACGTTCAGACTACAGAGTTATAACATGTTATAGCGCTATCTTGATGGTGGTCTCCGTGTTGCAATTATTTGACAACCGTTATAACATGTTATAATTCTCCAGTCTGAACAAGGCATAAGACAGTGTGAAATGAGCTGTATTAATTATTCGGTAGAAATGTATATGGAACTCAAGTCAACATACAATTAATTAATTAATTTATCTTTATTAGGGAGGCTTTCAGCCTGGGGCTGGTTCGCCTCCACAGTCAACATACACTCTATGTCAACTTGATCAAAGTGGCCTAAGGTTCATGTACATGGAAATCCAGAACTCGTTGGCTCGAGCTTTAAGAAGTAAGACATAGCAAGCTGTAGCGTTGGGGGATTTCCCTTCGAACCAGGCAGTAATTCACAGGGGCATCAATACAAATCGAAAGAGCCATAAAGAGTGCATTTTTCTGACTCACCCTTATACCCAGCACTCCAAATAGGGTAATGGTCTCAGCCCACTTAACGAGTGACGGTCCCAACAGAGGATATTTTTTCAAAATCATAATCAACAACATGTTTTTGATCAGAATTATCTATAACCGCTCAAGGGTGATAATAAAAGATTAAGATATTACGTGTGCAAAACAATAGGATTCCAATCTTTTAGTGCTGTCAGAAGCATAAAATCTGCTGGCAAAAAATAACATCCAGCGGCACACGATAAATGCTTGGATATGTTTTGTTCATTTTACTACAATGTTCAAAATAATGGAAAGAAAAATGACCTATGTTTATTTAGTTGCACTAAAACTGATTTCTAGTAACTTAGATGCACACTAGACTGATGCAAATTTTGACTTTTTTGCTCCACAGTGCTTAAATGGTTTAAAATCGGGTCCTGATTAGCCTCCTAAAGTTACAACTCATTTGGTTAGAAACAGACTTCCCACAAGCCATTTGAAGTTTGCATGTAAATTACTATGGGAAATCTCAACTTTTTGTTCATTGCCTTCTAGTCTTTTTCCATATTGAGCTGCGAAACAGTTCGATAGCCATTCTTTTAGAAAATTTTCTCAGCTACAACTTTGCTGAAAATCGTTTCTATGTAAAACGAGACAGGAAAAAGTTATTAATTATTTAATAGATTGGTAAACTTATGACAAGATCAAGCAGCTGCTCTGTAGGCAACACTGTATTTTGCAGTGTGACATAGTAGACATGATTTTTGTGTCCTATTTAACGCCCCACAAACGCGCATTGAACCATTGATAACTTTCGATCCTTGCATTTAATCAAAAAGTGGTCTTGAGCAAAGTTGTAGCTGAGAAAATTTCCTACAAGTACAATTGAACGTTTTTGAAGCAGATCGATATGGTGAATTATTAGATAGACATGAACAAAAATCTTGGTTTTACCATAGTAATTCCCATACAAACTTTAAATGGTTTGTGCCATCTCAGTTTCTCACCAAATGGGGTAAAATTTTGAGAGGTTAGTCAGGATCCGATTTGGAATCGTTTAAGTATTGTGGAGCGAAAATTTCAAATTTTGCATCACTCTAATGCACACTTAGAAAAAATCATGTAAATTTAGGTGCTCTGACATATACGAGCGTCAATTTTGACATAAAATTGAGTCATAATAGACGCGAAATTCGGCTAAATCAAACGTACTTTTCGTCGAGTAACGAACTTTTCAGTCTTGGTGCACTTAATTTTATATGGCATGTTTGTTTACGTCTCATCCTTTATGTCAAAGATGGATTCCGTCACGTGTAAAATTAGGTATATCTAAGTGTGTGGGGTGCCGGGTTAACCCACAGTTACGGGGCTACCCGCGCTTCCCGTACTGATGATCCTAGAAATATCACGAAACCACTTCTTTCACAAAATATTCAGTCTTGTTCGACAAATTTTAATGGTTTTAATCAAATATCATCCCATCTACAAACTAATTTGCTGACCAGCCAAAGGGAATCCTACTCTTGGACTTTTTCAGACAGAATTATGCTTAACAATTAATTAGTTAGGTAACAAAAAAATAATTTTCTGTGTGTGGTATACTCTGAAGTCTAAGCCCAAGCCACCAACATATATCCGGTTAATCATCCACGGTATTCGGAGGCAATTAAAGTCTCTGGAGATACGCCCCAAGCAATGTGACAATAGATAACTTTAAGAATTATTGCCCATATCCACACGTTCCTAAGTAAGCAACACAACCCATATGATACCCACCAGTTGAATTTGCGTGATGTGTTTCTTCCACCAGAGGGAATTCCGTAGCTCCGGCCGGAACGAGGTCAGGAAGTAGTAGAAGTACATGATGACATGAACAAAACTGTTGATCAGCCCGAGCAGCGTCGCGTGGCTCCCTGGAATGAGGAAAGAAGAACGAATGAATAAAGGATTTTTAGCAGCTAGAGTGGTCGAAAAGGGTTGTTTCGTTGGTAGTTGTATCATGAGAGCACATGCGTGTGAATGTGGTGCATAATACTAGCTAATGGATCTTAAATCATATATACATCATTGATGAAGCGATATCATGAGAAGTAAAAGCCGGTAAATACTTGGGAAATTTAAATATTTAAATAGTTCAATGTAGCTATCTAAATTCTTATAAGCAAAAAGACCAATCACCTTCTAGGTTGAAGGTAATTACCGACAAATGCAAGAACTCCTCGCACTGCAGCATTAACCCGATTTTGTTTGCTCCCTTTTTGAAAATATTGTTAATGTTTGACGAAGCCCATGCGCCCAACCTACCTTAAACATTCATCTTGAAAATTTATGAAGAAGATTTTGGATTACGGTTATACGTATTAAATTATTGAAAGATAAAAGTCTGACACCCGGATGGGGCTGACAAAATCGGATCATTACTGTATTAGCAACTTTTCCACACAAGAAACCTGAGTATGCTTGGTCATTACTTATTAAACTGGTTTAAGTTCAGCTGAACCGTTTCGGATTGTATTTGAATTGTTAATAAATTTCTCGCACAAAGCTGAAAACAAATATATAAAGAAAACAACAGCTTGACTACTTGATTCCAAACAAACGCGCCCAACCAATCAATAGGAGTAAGACTTAGGAGTACTTTTTACTTTCTATGTTTCTTGCTCTTCGTATTTGAAGCTTATTGTTTATCGCATAGTAGCTTATTGCGTGCTCTTAACTTAGTGTTCTACTAGATGCACTTCCAGAGTTATTAATTGAGAGCTTTCGATGCCTGTTCCATTTTTGCATTAGTATAATTGTGTGGCAAGTACTATCATACTCTATGCCTAGGAAATCCAACCCGAAAAAATTCTAAGCGTGACCGGGAATCGAACCCAGCCACCTTCAGCATGGTCTTGCTTTGTAGCTGCACCTTTACCGACTGAGCTAAGGGAGGCCCCAAAGGAGGTTGTTCTTTCCAACTAGTTGGAAATTGGACCGTCTTCACGAGTGATGTTAGAAGGTAGACACATAGGAATAGCGATAGAGGAGCACAGTCTAAAATGCACCTTGGTCCATTGAATTTTTCATAACTTTCTGTATTTTTAACTCAGTGATTCAGCTAACATTGCTGGATAATAAATTGAATGAAATAGTATTTTAGTGGAATATTCAAAACAGAGATGCAAAAACCTAAGATAACCCCAAATTAAAACGTGATGGTCCATTTTACCAAATGGCGCGATTTGAACTGCTTTCCTCAACATAATTTATAATGAGTGACTGAGCAAGGGGTGGAAATATGCTATTGCCACTACCTGCTTTTGATATTGCTGCAGAAGCAATCTTCGCAGAAGGCTGCTGTGAAAAAGTGAAATGTCAACATCTGTACTTGCAAGGTTTGCGCTTAAAGTGCTACTAGAGCGGCTACAGTATGTACCACTCACTCCACCACCGTTTCTTTATTGTGAGGTTGTAAGGTTGGTTCTTAAACGAAGAAAGTAATTGTTTATAGTGTAATCTCGCATATTGGGGTCATTTTACGACGACCGCATCACTTTGGAAGAAATTCGAAAGAAAAGTAATAAATGGCTATCATTTTTCTCAGAGTTCGCAATAATGAAAATAGAGTTAACTACCCCATTTCCGGCCTATTAAGCACTACCCGCACTTAGTCTTTCTTAATCTAGCGTAGTTTAGCACCAAACGAAATGTTATTATTACTGATGGCGCCAATGAATTCACTTCGGCCTATCGGATGAAGATAAAAATTGATTCGGTCGGAGCGCTTCTTTTGTTTTTGGGAATAATGGGTGCAAACCTTCATATCACGCGTTCTCATTGACTTCGTTTGGTAGCTTATTAACTAAAGTATCGTACCAAACGCATAATAGACTTGTTAACTCTGAAATCATGGATTTATTTGAAGTTTTCTGCTCGATAGGCCCAAAATGGGCGATTAAGCCGAAGTAGTTCTCTATCCTATGCATCCTATGTCACTAAAATTAAAAAAAAAATGTGTTATAATGTAACGGTAATCCAGGGTCTAGGCGGGAAAGAGAAAGGTGACAAAGTAGGAAGAAGTGTTAGTTTGTTTACTAAAATGCACTATGCCCATTTTGTTATGGCAAGTTTTGCAATAAGAAATGCTCCTCGTGTTTATTAGCGAAATTCACATCAAAGGTTGATTAATTGCGTAGGAAATCAGTTTGGCACAGCATTTGTGACCAGCATACACCTTCCGGTCGTATGAAGCAGGTCAAAAACTGTCCAAATCCGCCCATACATTTTGTTTTGTTTTGAATTTCTGTATGGCAAAATAGTGAACATTTCGTGAACATTAACGGCCAAGAACTCACCAACACCGGGAGACCGTGAGTTCCTGCCCACCTGTCATTTTTCCATCTAGAGCCAGGGTTGCTTCTAGAGATTAGCTGATGATTCACTCAAGAGACCTGATGACCCGCGGTTCATTTTTAAGAAACCGTAGCTCATCATCTCAAAAGTCTGAACCATTCAATCCGTCACTTAAAGTGTAATTTTTCTAAAAAGTACTCATTATTTCACTTACGTACACACTAAGAAATAACTAATTTTATAAGCGACGGAATCCATCTTTGACATAAAAGATGAGACGTAAACACGTGGCTCGACGAAAAGTACGTTCGATTAAGCTATACAAATTTAGGTCAAAATTGACCCTCGTATTTGTCACTCTCAGAGCACCTAAATTTACATGAGTTTTTCTAATTGCACACTAATCGAGTCAGTGCGGTTTTACTGAGTTTTTGAATTGCGGAACTGTTCGGTAAAAGTTTAAAAATCTATGGAAAATTTAATTAATAAGAAAATTTGTTCTGAACTTGTACATACTTAGTTCTGTTAATCCCATTTAATGATAGAAAACATAATTGGTCGATTTCATTGATTCTTTTCGGATAACGGTCATTTGAATTTTTACCGACTTTTTCAGCAATTCAAAAACCCAGTAAAAAAATACTGACTCCTGTAAAAAAATCTTAGTGTGTGTGTATTGAACAGCCATCGCGTAAACCAAGATTTATGCGTGCAGTCCGCATAGTGCTCTCTTGCCGTGCGGATCTATTTGTTTTCTGCTGAACGAAGTGTTAATGCTACCTAGAGCTATGAAAATATAAACAGCACGTTTATAAAATTTCCTGATTCGTTCAACTCTTATTCCTCTTCGATTCTTGTTTGGACTCTACCCAAGGTAATCCTGCTTGAACATCCACACTAATCGAGTCAGTACGGTTTTACCGAGTTTTTGAATTGCGGAACTGTTCGGTAAAAGTTTAAAAATCTGTGGAAAATTTATTAATGATAAAATTTGTTCTAAACTTGTACATACTTAGTTCTGTTAACCCCATTTAGAGATAGAAAATAAAATTGATTGATTTCATTGATTCCTTACGGATAACGGTCATTTGAATTTTTACCGACTTTTTCAGCAATTCAAAAACCCAGTAAAAAAATACTGACGCCTGTAAAAAAATCTTAGTGTGTCGACATGGAAAATTCCTCTTCGATCCTTCGGTTTCTAATCTGCTTGGAAGTCGATTTGTAGAAACTTTTTTCGCCATGGCACCTAAACGCAAAAGAAAAGGGCAATCTCTTGGTTCTTCTTCTGATTATATTTATTGGAGCAATCAATTTGATATGCTCACGGATGATAAGAATGATCCATCATCCAAGCAAAATTCCACAAAACATTCCCGGCTTAATGCCAAGAAGGAAAAGATTCCCCCTATTGTGATAACCTTCGCACGGACCTTTTGAGCTTCGTGACATTCAAGTTTTCACTTAAAATTGGCCGTCGGGGTGAATTTCGTGTATTGACTGAAACCTTGGACGGATTCAAACGTCTTCTCAAGTACCTTACTGAGAAGCAACACACATGTTTTTACTTACGACACCAAAACTGAACGTCTGTTCAATGTTGTCTTGAAAGGTCTGCCCAGTGGTGAATCCCTGCATCAAATCAAAAATGAATTGTCTAAATTACTTGAAGTTGAACCACTCCATGTAATCAAAATGAAAATGAAATCCCGTCCTGGCGATTCACGCAACGGGATTTCTAATGATTTTTATTTAGTTCACTTCAAGTCTAGTGAACTTATCAGCCTCTAGGTCTTAGTATGCTCCATATCCGAGTGAAGTGGGAACACTTCAGGAAGACTGGAGCAAATTTCCAAAAACCTCACCCAGTGCCGTCAGTGCCAGGGATGGGGTCACGGAACTAAAAATTGCTGCATGCCAGCTAAATGCATGAATTGTGGTGATTCCTCTTACGTTAAGGACGACTGTCCTGTGACGGAAGATCCTAAAAATTTAAATGTTCAAAGTGACTCGCAAATTGATCATACAATCTTCGTTCTTAATGGAGCCACTCATGCTGCTATTGCAGCTGGTAGGAATCGAAATCAAAGTTCTAACCATCATAATTCTAACGGAGTTTTTGATGATTTGAGGTAGAATGACTGCTTCTAAAATTGAATTTTTACAGATATCATTAATTGACATGATTACTGGTATGCAAAAAACTAACTCCATGTTTGATGCTATTCGAACTGGAGTAAAATTTGCGAACAATATCGTTATGAATTTGAAACTCAGTAATGGATTTTAAATCATTAAATATTTTGAACTAAAATGCTTGATCTCTAAAAGATAATGAAGACGAGCTATTTAACTTTTTGAGAATTCATAACGTGCATATCGCCGTTAGAACTGAAACGTTCCTTAAATCTGACCATAAGTTTAAAAGGGACGCAACCTATTGCATTTATCGAAATGACCGTCTTGATGAAGCCGGTGGTGGCGTTGCCATCATTATTCATAGGCCTATCAAACATCAAATTATTTCTTCATATGAAATCAAAGTTTTTGAAACTTTGAAACAAAATACGCTCATGGA